ATCTAGTTCCTCTGCTTCGTCATGCCACGCGAAACGACGAAGGTGTTGTTGATGTTGTTGTTGATGTTGTTGATGTTGATGATGTTGTTGTTGTTGCTGTTGCTGTTGCTGTTGCTGTTGCTGTTGCTGTTGTTGGTGGTGCTGTTGTTGGTGGTGTTGCTGATGGAGTTGCTGTCGCTGTCGCTGTCGCTGTCGCTGTCGCTGTCGCTGTTGCTGTTGCTGTTGTTGTTGTTGTTGTTGTTGTTGTCGCTGTCGCTGTCGCTGTCGCTGTCGCTGTGGCTGTTGTTGTTCCTACTAAGTTGCTGCTGCTGCTGCTGCTCTTCGGGTCGAGGGTGTACATCCGGCTCCGTTTGTCTGTTTGCCTTTCGCCCCTTCTTATGGCTGCTTTTACTGGTAACGCCACACGCAGCGAGATGAAGCACTTGCCCAGCGCCAGGGTGGGAGGTGCGTGTTCGCACTGACTTCTGGTGGATGGGCCTCCATGGCTACTTGGCGGAGGCTACAAGGTAACTACATGTAACTACTATGAGTACCAGGCCACTAGGCGGCTCGTATCGCACCGAGAGCCAGAGCCGCTCTGCCCGCTTTGCCGAGGTCATGGCAGCCAGGGGCTGAGCTTCGCTGCGCTGAGCATCGGCGCTTTTGCAAGGGCTTTTGCAAGGTCAGCTCGCTGCTACGAAGCCTCCATCTCGGCCTCAGGTGCTGGTCCTCCTGATCCTCCTGGTGATCCTCCTGGCCATCTGCTACTGCTGCGTTGGCTCAAAGACTGCCTCATAGATTGCCTATCAGTTTGGGGTTCATGTTTCAGCTGACAGGGGACCGGAGCTCTAACCCGAAACCCTCGGAACCGGTGCTTACAGACGAACACACACGCAGACCTTGAACAGACAGAGCCCTGGACCCTTCTCTGCCCTCGACCCCCTTTCGCAGGAACGAGAATTGGCAGTTCAATCAGCGATCCATCGAAGCTGGACGAAGACACCGGCGGCTCTCAAAGGCAGCTTCCAACAGCCATAGCAGCCTGTGTTTCGTGTTATTGTTGTTGTCGGTGTGGGTGGGGTGGGGTGGTGGCGCTGGTGGTGCTCGGGCTTTAAGAAGTCGTTGTTGGCTGACTAGTGCGGGACTTGCAATCTTTGCGGATGTCATTCACGACACTCGTTCCATACCATGATGGCGTCCATGCCACCACTGCATAACAAGATCCATTCCCATTCCCAAACCATGACGTCTATGGCACGGGCGTGTCTGTTGGAATATCCATGGCCGCTGCAGTTCTTTTGTCAATTTGTTGTGTGCATCTGGCCCTTGTCGCAGTTTATGGCGCGTTCTTTCTTGCATCACCCGGATAAAGCAAGAAAGCACCAACACACGGGCAACAAATGTCGCAAATACCAATGTTTCACCCTGTGCACAAATGCTACTCCAGGCGCCAGTGAAGCAATTCCTTCTTACTTTGCACAAGAATTTGTGCGACATCTTCGAAACCCTCGAGGCAAAGAAGCGGCTGTAGAGCATCGCATGTTTAACGACATGTGACAGCAGGCCCCAGGCAGCTGTCCGTGGACATGTTTTCTGTTCAACAAGTGCTCTCGATACTCCGTTCACTCCTGTCCTCCTCCTCCTTTTTCTTGACGTTGTGGTGGTGGTTGTTGCTGCTGCTGCCAGTTACGTCCAAGGGATGGCCGCCTGCAAAGACCGAGAGAGTAAGCTGGGTGCCTTGCACAGTAGTCGTATGTCGTCGTTTACGATGACACCTTTGCGTTTGAGGTCTCTGCAGTGGTCAAGACAGCACACATGTGCCACCTCCATTGGTGTCGCAAGGTGCATCGCTGGGACCTCTTTGGAAAGACACCTCGAAGGAGATATCCGCTCTCAGCAGCTCGGATGTCATCGGCACACGAAGAGCAAATCTGTGCACCCACTCTTGCAAAGCTCGAACAAGTACAGTAGGGAGCTCACCAAGTGATCCCATCTCGCCGTGCAAAACCTTGATTCTTGCTTGGTGAATGGTGTTGGCTTCTTACTACGAGTTACTGTGGAAGAGCGCCCAAAATGCACACTCACCAGAATTCCTCAGCGGCCTTCTTTGCAGTCGTGTCTGCAAGGTGCCGACTTCCTCAGAGAACATCTTGGGGATGGGACTGGGCCTCTTCTACAACGGCACCTGGGAAAGCGTGAGTCAGAAGAGGAGAGATGCCCCAACTTTCATAGAGGACAAAATCCCTCTCTTATCCCAAGGCCCGCCTAAGACCTCCGGGGGGGGGGCTCGCCAAGATGCTGCAGAGCCGCGCAGAGAAGTTCCTTAGTTTCGTGAAGTTTACGTGTTTGAGTCAGCGCGGGATCAACCGGCCCTTCCCCCCCCCCCAACCCTGTCTCACTCCGATTTACGGTGATTTGCGATGGGGTGAAGGGGGTAGGAAGGAACTGGAGGTTTTGCCCCTTCCAAGAATCTGCTTCCAGGCATTCGTTTTATCTTCGTTGTCGCGGTGCTCACGCTCTTTGCCTCCTGGATTGTTTCTGCGCCTCCTCTGCAGTTTGGTATTGGTGCCACATTAAGAAGACCGCGAAGCATTCCCCAGCTCAGGATTCCATCGGCCTTCGTTACGTGCTGCAAAGCTCCGAGACGAGCAGTTCGGAGAAGCTTCTCCAGGCGCAGACGTTGCAGCGTTGTTCTGTTGTGACTTCTCTGCGACTTCCGAGCTTTTCTGAGTGTGAAAATCCGGTCCCGGCTCTTCAAACATGCGAGTGAAGCTTGAGAACAGGGGGCAAAAGACGGGCATGGCGCATGGCCAGGACCACAAGCAAAAAGCATGTCTTCCGTCGCCATGTCAGCTAGATAGCAGACAGCGTGGCAGCTCGACAGATTGCCATGGAGTTACCTTCAGCCTAGGCAATTGACGACAAGCATATAGGACGCTAGATGTACAAGAATTTTCGTTGGATATACCGACTCAGAGACAGACCCCGAGTGGACATTCCAGCGACTCAGCTGGACTCCCCGTTCTCAAAGCTCCGCCGCACCGCTTCGAAGCAGAACAGCCCAATGTCTTCCGCACCCGTCGCAAGAACAAGAATTCAGGACCTCAATTTAGCACTAGACTCAGCGCCAGCAGATCATCTTAAACAAATCTAGAGAAGGGGGCAATGGCAATGTCCCCGTTGTCTACCCTCTGTGTCAGTCGCACACTCACTTTTCGTCTTGCTGCCAGTCTCACCACCCAGCAGCCCTGTCTTCGAGTTGCCTTTGTCAGTGAGGGACTAAAGGGGTAAGAGGGACTGACAAAGCGAGCCGCGCGGTCTGCAGAAAAAAGCACGATGACCGTTTCTCTAGTCAGAAATGCACTTAGTGTAGGAGGCGGCCGTGGCCGGGGACGGGTGGGAGCTCTCGTGCCGAGCGTTTGCCGGAGGAAGCGGCCGTGGAAGGGGACGGGTGCGTGGGGCTCTGGGTGCCGAGCGTTCGCGGGAGGACGCCGTGGACGCGGACGGGGAGCTCTGGGTGCTCGCGGACGGCGAAAAAATAAAAAGTCAGAAAGCCTGCTCTGGATTATTGCTTTCCCTCATGCCTAAAGAACGGTTTTGGTTTTTGGGCCTTGTTTCTGTTGGTGCTTCCCGGTGGCCATGTTTATCGGCAGATGGCAGGCATGGCATGGCATTCGCTATGTTTGCATGCCTTTCTGTGCAGAGGCCCTGCAGCAGACGGAGGCGAAGGAGGCCATGATTCCGGCTGTGCTCGTCTCGCCCATGATGATGCTCGGCAGGGGAAGAGTCGGACCCGAGCATCGAATCTTTGATTCCAGGATATAGAGCCATCCAACAGCACCCGCGAGGCATTCTGTCATGCGACGTTATCCGATGTTCATGGATTGGTTTCCCGAAGTTTGATGTCTGCAATTGAGTTTCCACTCTGACTCTAAAGCCGTTTCGGAAGCCTCGGCCCCAGGACTTGCGAAGACACGACACCCGCAGTCATCGCCGAGAATCTAGGCTGTGAATGCAGGTTATGTGCCCGGCCAGTGTGCGTGTAGTCTTTGAGAGACTGGCAAAATGACTTAGGGATTGCCTGTAGTTGCGAGAGTGTTCTCTGATCTGATTGTCATGTCGAAGCTGTGCATACTGGTGCATGATGTTGCCTTGTTGGTCTCACCGCTTCAAGAGCGGCTGGACAGTCTGCACCGAGGCAGCTGCAAACTTATGCCGCGACACGCTGCTCAGCCGAGAGTGGTTGGTGCAGAAGAAGCAGGAGACAGGTTGAACTGATTTACGGTAGTCCACCCGGGAGTGCTGTAGTACTCCTGTCAAGTAGGACTTCCAGCAATCTTCACAACAACTCCCTTGACAAAAATCGGCACAGCTCATGCGCAAGCTGCACGAAGATGTCGCATTTGAGCGCGAGCCGACTCTGCTAAGGTGCCAAGGTGTTGGGAGTGCTGTGACTCTGCAGGAAAAGGAGCGGGTTCGGCATGGCAGCCAGCGGTGCATTCTCTGTGTCGATCTTGTAGTCTGAGCTGTTCGTCGCGCAGCGTCTCATTGACAGTCCGGATCTGCGATCCTAGGTACATGGTGCTCTTCTCTTACTCGCTGTACTTCGTGCACAGCCAAAAAATCTTTGCGAGAAGGCCAGATGAGCTTCGACAGAATCCTGCATCGGATGTCTGTCTTCTCAAGAGGCGCATGTCTGTCACACGAGCCCCTGCATATAGCAGCGTCCAAAAAGTCCAATTCAGTGAATTCAGTGTGCTTGGGAAGAGTACAACAACACCAACAAGCGGCGGCGCGAATTTCATGACGGATCACACGATACCTTTATTTAGTACAGCGACAGCGCCGGTAAAGAAAAAGATATTTTTTCCGTGAGGGGGCTCTCGATTTCTTATTTTTGAAGCGCACGGTTTTTTAGTAAAACAAGAATCGGGATTCGAGCATACCCTGGATTTCTTAACTCAAACTTCTTAATTTGAAAGCCCACCAAAATAAGAAATTGAGCCCCTCAATTTCTTAAATTTAAGAAAATGAGGGGCTCAATCTCTTATTTTGGTGGGTTTTCAAATTAAGAAATTTGAGTTAAGAAATCCAGGGTATGCTCGAATCCCGATTCTTTTTTTACTAAAAAAAC